TTTTTTCTGAGACAGGGTCTCACTATGTAATTCAGGCTGGCTTTGAGTTCACTATGTAGCCCAGGCTGGCCTCGAACTCACAGCAATCCTCCTGCCTCAGCCTCCAATGTACTGGGATTATAGGTGTGTACCACCATGCCCTGCTATTCTAGGACTTTTAGTGTGCACACAGTAAAGAGAATTAAACCACATTGCTCAATTTAAACGATTACCTGTATTCTTCCATCCTTGTTTCATTGAGACCTCCACCAATTCCACCTCCTCATTTGATTATTATTTTTACATGTTTAAGGTAAAATTCAAGTTCGTGGAAATAATCCTCTGAAGTTTTTCTGAATACACAGCAGTAAAGGTGCATTTACGTGCTGCACTTAAAAATGAGAAACTCACTCATGTGCTGGAGCCTTGGCTCACTCTCTCTCTGCTCAAGTTGTCATCGTAAAGGAAGCCTCCCACAGCTACTGCCTGGCCACGAGACGAGGCTCCTGTTCAGGGAACCCGTGTACTTTGCTTATGTGGAACTTTCAAGTAAAAGTTTTTTGTTTGGTTTGGTTTTTTTAAGAGAGAACTTTGTGGCTGTGTGTTCAGCTGCTTCCTATAAACGTTACAGGGAGAAAAGGTGGAGAATTGTGTTCCCAGAGTTCACAGCAGCTGATGTTCGGTTGGTTCACCTGGTTTTACTGTGCAGTTACTGGTGGCCAGTGCCGTTCTGGTTGCCTGGTGCCTGCACCATCCTAGTTGTTAAGTGTTTAGAGTAATACGCTGTGCGTGAGTCACACAAAGCCCAGCAGAACTTGGTAGAAGGTAAGGGTAAATGGGACTGGATAGGATGAGGACTGTTCGTAAGAGTGGAGCCTGGTCTCCGGGCGCAGTGATCATCATGATTTAGGCTTGAAGGAAGAGGCCAGACCTAACACTTAACATTCTGAGGGCCCTACTGGACTCTTTCTGCTGGTTAGTATAACAACAGTAAATGACTAAGGCGTGTAACAAACTCTACCTGCAGAGCCTTCGCTTCACAGCACCATATTTCCTTTTCTGTTGGAATATGAGTACATGAGGAAATACATTTGTTGCTCATTCCTCGTACTACTCATCAACCAGGTTTGGGCTTTTTTATGAATAGCAATAGCTTACTAGGTACAGAAAATGCGCCATCTGTGGGATGAGTTCATCCCAGCCTGTTTCGTATCAGGTGCTAATCTTTCAGTCCTTCAAGACCACTAAGGTCTTACCACATGTCCAGAATTTCAGTGTGTGGGAGAAACCAAAGGCAAAAACTGTGACCTGGTTTGCATGCCAATTACAGAAGCACTTTTTTCCCAGAAGCAAATGGCAGTAATGAGTAATATGGACCTGGTTTGTTGTTCTAATTTATGTCTTTAAATCTGGAAATTAAAAAAAAAAAAAATCACATTGCTGAGTGTGCTCATGTGTGCCTGCAACCTCAGCTATCTGGGAGTCGGAAGCAGAAGGATTGCTTGACTCGAGAGCTCAAGGGCAGCCTGGGAAACATAGCAAGACCCTGTCTCTTAAAACAAAGTCACATCAGCACATCTTGTCTTCACATAGATAAATCTTATCAGATCTATAAATATTTTGTTTCATAAATTTGTGGCGTCTATGAATTGCAACTCCTTTGTAACTTTACAAGTAAGTAATAAAAAGTTCATAGGCAGACTCAAACTGAAATAAATGTCCTTTTACGATCTCTGAAAAAAACATGTAGTGTGTGGCTGGGTGACCCTGTGGTGGATGAAATCAAATGATGTGTCTGCTGGGGACGAGGCTGGGAAGGATAGGGTTCTTGATAGGGTTCTTTGGTCCCAGACTCACACTCAAAACAAAGCTTTAATAAAAGTATGAATTATAAATATGCTCAGATTATAAACCACAGTGTAAAGTCTAATCCACCAGCATGGATTTTCTAGCTCATGAAAAATACTGTATAGTCATATGGATAGTCTACGTCAAGATTTTATTTTCCCTACCAAATGAGTAATACAGAATTGCATTCAGTAGTAGTTTTAGTACTCATCTCCCGCCTATTTATTAAAGCAGAGCCTACATGTATTTATACTGAGCTCCTGGCTTTGTCAGGTGAAACGCATCATTACGTGTGTAACTCTTAAGCTTTCTCCAGTGTTATCTGTATTCATATTTGCTCATTTGTTTCAGCTGACTGGTCAAACACCGAATGTAAAACCTGGATCTTGTTATTTTGTGTATTACCAGGAAGCTCAGGATGATATGAAATGTCTGGCTTCTCTGGCAGTGACCTGTAAGCTTTTGCTTTGATTTCATCTTCAGGAAACATAGGCTCCAAGAGCACGGGCTCTGAAAAGGCTTTTCTAGAATTTTCACTTTCTCTGTTTTGTCTTAGGACTTCCTCTTCTTCACAAATGTTCCTTGCCTTCTCCAGCACAGCATTAACACAGATTGCCTGTATAATTAAGATATGTGTGTAAAAATTAATAATTCTTAAAAAAATCACAGAAAAAAATCAGTAAAACCTCAAGTGCTTCCTTTCGAGAACTGTAATACATGATAGGCATTGGGAAACTGATTTCTTGTTCTCAGTATCTTATATGACACTCTAGAGAGCACTTTAAAACCTACCGTGCTTTATAAAGATGTGCTTTACATATTTTTTCTTAATTCATCTGATGCCAAATATCTTTATTCTTTTTTTTTTTTTGAGACAGGGTCTCACTATGCAGTTCAGGCTGGCCTTGAACTCACAGTGATCCTCCTGCCTCAGCCTCCCAAGTGATGGGATTACAGATGTGCCCCACCATGCCTGAATTATAAAGATGTACTTTATGTCTTTTTCTCAGTCCATCAGATGTCACATATCTTATTTTTGTTTTTGTTCCTGTTCTTTGAGACAAGGTCTCTCTATGCCATTCAAGCTGGCCTTGAACTCACTATGTAGTCCACACCCAGCACATCTTTATTCTGCTGATTTGATTAAATGAAACATTTTCTGGAAGATGGAATTTGTCCTGAGATACTTTAATATCTCAAAGTACACTTTTTTGTTTTAGTTTTCTTCTTCCTAGACTTTGCTTGTACTTATATATATGGACATAACTATTTTGATAAGAATTTAGTAAGCTAGTAAGATCAGTGATTTGTCATCAAACATGTGATCCACTTTCCCTCCCAGAATGCCAGTGTTTTAGGAAGAGGGTAGTGAAAAAATGCAGAAAAACAACTTTAGAGGTCAGAATCACTAAGAACTGTACTCACTAAACTCACTGTAAGTTCGCTCATGATGATGACACCAGGTTTTTAAGGCAAGAAAAAATTCCACAGAACAGAAAAACACCCTAAACTAGTTTACTTTACATATTGGTATAAAGTTTTCCTGAGCAGGTGACGGCCTCAGGTTGGAGGGCCTCGGTTTCCTTCTTCCCTCCTGCTACTTTCATGCCTGCCTCTCACAAGGGACACAGGGACACAGCCGCTTTCCCTCCCTTCCCTGTGGTGTGTGGCCGGGTGACCCCGTGGTGGACAAAATCAGATGATGTGCCTGCCGGGAAGGAGGTCAGGAAGGATTTCTGGAAAAGGTTTTCCTTCTGCATGAAGAGAAAGACTTTGGCCTCGACCTTTCTCGCCCCTCTTGAGCATGAGGCAACCAGTCTACAAACTAAAGCGTTTCTAGGAGGAAAAAAGAAAAGAAAGAAAAGCCCTGGTGTCTTAGTCTGTTCAGGCTGCTGATAACAGAATACCATAAGCGGAGGAGCTTCAGTAGTCTCATTTCTCACAGCTGTGGAGGTTGGGGAGCCCACCGTCAAGCAAGGTGCTGTAGACTGTTTGTCCGCTGAGGCCTGCTTTGCAGTACACCAGTGGCACCTTTCAGCGGTGTCTGCATGTGGCGGGAGGAAGGAGAAGCTCTTGGGGCCTCTTTTATCAGGTCACTAATCCTGTGCATGAAGGCCTGCTGGCCTCACAGAGTTACCACCTGCTCATACCATCACTTTGGGGGTTGGTCACTGTAAGAATTTGGGCGGACACAAGCATTCAGACCATGGCATCTGGGTTCTTGATTGTGTTATAGAGCCTATAGGAGAAAACTAGGAACTGCCTGGTTCCATACTTCGTTTAAGTGTCACGAACTTTTTTTTTTTTTTTTTCTTTTTGAGACAGGGTCTCACTCTGCAGTTTAGTCTGGCCTTGAGCTCACTTTGTAGCCCAGGCTGGTCTCAAACTCTCAATAATCCTCCTGCCTCAGCCTCCCGAGTGCTGGGATTACAGGAGTGCACCACCATGCCCTGCTACTATTTTTTTTATTAACTTCTACAGGAACTCATCCCACACCAGAGAAAGAAACCTTTAAGTCCTTATTTCCAGCTACAAATAGTCTCATTCATTGAAGCCAAATATCATCATTTTCTATGTCATACTGTGAAAAAAATGTCAGAAAGTCTTGTCTTATTTGACATATTCCCACCTCCATCACCTACAAAGTTATATCTGTGTCCATTCTGACCACCCTTCCCCAGTCTCAGAAAATGAAGTGTGGATCAGAGTCAATATTCCTCTTTGTTTTATTTTCTGTCCTAGCAATTTGTTCTCTATCTTTTTAGCCTCTCACTCTTGACTGGCTCTTGCCCTGCAATTTATAATGTGCATGAGCATCTTTCAGCCTAAAATTTAAAATCCCTGAGACCCTACCTCCTACTTGCTTGTTACACAGTTCTCTTTTCTTGATCAAGCCAGAGTCAGTGTTCTTGGTTTCCATTGTATCACCTCTAATTCACTATCAAACCTGCTTATTTCTCCCTTCCACATCCCATCATGCCCTTGGGGTAGTTCTCAGGATGACTAACCGCAACCTTAAATCCTTATTTTACTCAGATTTTTTTCTTTATATTTGACAACCGCTGACAACCTCCTGAGTCTCTTATCTGCTTGACACTGTTTCTCTTGATTATTTTTCTACTTTTCTGATTGTTGCTTCTTTGTCTCCTTTGTGAATGGATCCCTTCTTAGCTCACTTTAAATGTCACCATTTTCCATGTTCCTGTTGACTTAGGATTCTTTTCACTTGACCTGGTTGCACTTGTAGGGCATTAACCTCCAACACATACGATTTGTCTTTTATTTTTGGTAGCAGGAATCAAACTCAGGACCTTGCACTTGCCATATGGTTTGTTTTCTAAACCATAATTCCAACCTTGACCTCTCCCACATTCAGATGCACATAGGACCAATTAGCAAGTCACTCGAAGCTTCTATTATCTATTTATAAAATTTATAGCATTATAAATTGTACAGAATAATTTTAATAGCTTTGAAAAATTAAAGTTTATTTTGATTTTAGTTGTTTGTTTTCTATAACCATCTCATCCTATTTTTTTGAAGTGTATTTATATCCTAGCTCCATTGGTATTAATTTTAGATAAGATTCAAATTTAAAATACTGGGCACTTCTCAAAAATTTAAAATACCTGCAAAATATTTGATAAATTCAGGTTTAAAAAAATATTTAAAAGTTATACATTTTTTCAAAGATATCTTGCTGTTATTGACCCGCTGCATTTATTTCCCTGTACATTTTAGAATCAGCTAGTTCAGACACATACACACAACTGTCATTGTACATTTCAATATGATAAAAAAAAATTTAACATACGATGCTGACAAAAACATAAAAATGATTAAAAATTGAGAAAGCTAAAGTAAATTGAATGATGTATTATGTTCATGGATGAGGAGGAGGACTTACTCTAGCAGCTATCAAGAGATCATAATTAATGCAGGGCTGCACTGATGCAAGAATGGACAAGTGGCACTCCATAAACAGATCTAAATTGAAAGGACACGATTTATGACAAAGTCTTGTAGAACAGTGGCAAAAGGGGTCTTTTTTCTGATAAATGGGTTGATCAATTGGACACTCATAGGGTAAATATTTGGCCGTTACCTGGTGCCAATTTCACACGCATTATAAAAGTGGAGGGTAAAATTATATAGCTTCTAGATTATAACATGATTTTCATGACCTCAGGCTCCAGGTCAAGATTCGTTCAGACACAAAAAGTACTTAACATAAAATAAAACAGTAAATTAAACTACATTGAAATTAAGAACTTTAAATGACACTGCTAAGAGATTGAAGAAGCATGGGATTTTTAAAAAATTTATAGGCAACAAATGAATCTCGCAGTGACAATATTGAGCAAAAGAAGACAAATACAAAAGATACATGTTGTACTATACAGTTTCATTCACATATAATTCAGAAAGCTGAACTGTCTATGGAATTATAAGCCAGAGTAATGATTGTTTTATACAGGATGGTAGTGATTTTGAGGCAAGAAAGTGGCTTCTGGAATAATAATTTTGAATCTTGACCCAATGGTGTTCATAGATTGATAGATTTTGTGATAACACATGAAGTTGTGTACTTTTATTTTTGTATGTCCTGGTTTTAAAAATTAAGTATACATGGCTATTAACAGAAAATAAAGCTCTTATAATTGATACAGTTGTTGATACAATTGTTTACATTTTTGCCACACACAGTACTTATAATCAAAATCCTGTACACGAATACTTGTGTTCCCCAGATTCACTGACCCAGAATAATGGAGTGCTGAACCTCAGCCGTCACGGGACAGTGGCTGGAACAAAACAACTGTGTTTGCTAAATGAAAGCAAACGCTAAAATGTTCTGACCAAGAGTCTGCAAAGGGCAGTAAACTTTATAAAATTTTGCATAACGAGAGAATGGCATCTTAGTTTGTGAATAGTACAACTAAAGACAATACTGTAAATAGTACACTGTATTAAAATAAGTATACTTGTTTCTAGAGTCTAATAATTTTCTTAACTTACCAAATAAATGAGTGCTGCATATGAAGCATACATCATGCCAGTTAAAGCAGTCTTTGCTGGAAAAGAAATGATTTCAAAGAAAAAACTCTTTCCGGCCTGCAAAAACACAAAAGATTTTCTTAACTAAAACCAAAATTTTTAGTGCTTCAGTAGTATACTTAACACAGTTGCCATAAAATAAAAATTTCAACTTTTTTCCTAAAGAAAGTCATCTACCTCGCATCTGGGCCTTTTCACATTGTGAAAATATATTTGTTTACTTGTTTCTTTTAATAAGATTCTGTGCTCTCTTGTCAAAACTGTGACTAAAGAATAAAACATTTCATTTCTGAAATCTAAATCAACTTACGATTCCAAACTGTGTCCACTAGGAGGTACTGCTGTGCGCCTTGGCAAAACATTCTTTTCATTGTTCAAACTCGTGTAACCATTCTTTACTAAATTGTTCACAACCTCAATTAAGCAAACAGGCAACATAATACTAAGAATTTCCTGAAGATTAGTGACTTGCTTGGAAATGTCAGTCATGAGACTCATGTAGGCCAGCACTGACTTTAAAGGATCATTAAACTCAGGAACTGCCCTGTGCTTGCATCCAGCAGTGTTTTGAAACACAGGAGTTTATACCAGTAATGAATTTGCCTCTCAGATGCTTCTGGAATAGGTGTCTCTGCTGCAAACAGAGCAGTGTAACATACTCAGTGTAAGGGAACTGTACTGTGTCATGGGCCCCTCTGCTGCCTTGAGCAAGATGTACAAGGAGGACATTAGGTGAAACCTCCTGGTCCTCCCATTCAGCAACGAAGTGGCAGCCACTCTCCTCTGAGATGATAGCCAACCCACCGGCGGCTTCAATGAATTTCCAAGAGATACGCGTCGTAGCTAATAAAATTATGTAAATATGCGGTAGAAAGTACATACAGATACTAAAGGACAATGTATACATGTTCATGAAAAAGTCATAGTTCAGTGGGAGAGTGTTTGCCTAGCATGTGCAAGGCCCTGGGTGAGATTTCCAGTACCATTAAAAAAAAATTATAACATTGAAAAGACTGAAACAGTTAATAACAGAATGGGTAGGAAAACTATACTGTATCTACTCCCAAATAAATTATGCAATCTTTTAAAAAGTGCTTGTGATGAATGTGGTCAAATTTTATTAAACAAACACATAGGACACTGCATAACAGGTCCTGTTTTATGTGCTTTGTAAGCAGGATGTGGTGGCATACCCGTGGAGTCCCAGCTCCCCAGGAAGCTAAGGCAGCAAGCTGCTTGAGCTGGGGCTTCAAGATCAGTCTGGGCAGCGTAGCAAGACTCCCATCTTAACAACCACCACAAAAACTGTGCTTTAATAAAACATTCAATTTAACTCTTAATCACAGGAACTTGGTATTACTATTATCCCCATTCTACAAAAATAAAAAAGGGAAATAGGAAACATACCCTTGATGATATAGCCAGTGAATAATAAAGTTAGATTTAAACCAGGACTCCTCTAAAGGACCCAAACACTTAATCTGATCAGGAAACTGCTGCCTTGGAACACTCTGCTTGTGAACAGCAGTAAAAGACAATATTGCAGTAGCTCATATTTATTCATAGGTTTGCTAGGAAGTGAAATAGAATGCCTAGTAGAATTCTTGAACACAGATGGCATCAAGGGACGTGATAGCCATTGTTAGTCCCTTATGACAGGTGAAGAAAGTCATAAGCATAACAAACGATTCCATTCCAAGCAGGAATAGGCCAAACCCAGCTATGCTGTGGAAGTCAAGCAAACAGTTCTCCTAGCAAGGGTAAGATTAGTGACCAGAAACTAGCATGAGATTTGAGGGGAGCTGTTTATGGGTGATTGAAGTATAGATTGTGTTCAGTTTATGAAAATTGATTAACTTGTACACAATGATTTGCACACTAGTCTGCATATTTCAATTTAAAAGTATTCCAATATTTTTATGATAAAAATAGTTAACTTTGCACAGAAAAAATAGGGACTGAAATGCACCACAATTTCAACAGTTGTAGTGTTTTTAATATGGCCCTTATCTAGCTGACATTCATATAACAGTCATGATATGCCAGACTCTATTCTAACAGTCTTACTTCCACTGTGTCATTTTATCATCAAACAAATCCATGAAATAGGAATATGGATTTAGAGAGATGAAATTCTTTCATGTTTTCTGTATTCTTCAAATTGAAAGAGCATGTAGTTTTTTTATAAATGAAATTATTAAAATGTAAGTGCACTCTGCATCATGTTACTAGCTAAATGCAGGGGAAAAATGTACGTTCGTGTTTTACCTACTGCTACCACTCCTGAATGCACAACAGAATCGCCCATTACAGCTTCCCTGCCTCCTTCTGAATGACTGCTTCTCTGCTGGGTGGGTCTGGGCTGTTTCCTTTCCTCTTCCTTTCTCGTCAGGCCGTACCAACACCTAGATGCGGGCATAGACACGGGAAGTTCTAGCCTATTCCCTGCATAAATCAGCCTGGAAATTTTCCCAGACTCCCTGGGTCTGGTAAAGACTTTCCAGGAAGTGAAGCATGGGTTGCTTTTTGCTGTTTGCTAGAAGAATCAAAATGACAGCAGGCCTTGGCAACCGGCGGTAAGGCTACACGGAGACACGCATATGAGTAGAGGCAGAAGGTTCAGGAGAGGGACGGACAACGCCACCGAGATGCGCCCGAGCAGAGCGCAGAGGTTCAAGGGTGTGCGCACACAGGAACACAAGGCGGGGGTGCGAGGGGGGGCGGTCACAAGCGGGAAGCGGCAGGCTGCAGACGGCACCATCAGAGCAGCGCCTGCGTGAAGGTACCGTGTGCGCGTCACTACACCCTTCTCAGGTTTAGTCCCTCCCCTGGGAGAAATTAGAACTGGTCAGTTTTGGAATGGATTATGTAGCCGACATATGTCATGCTTTCGAACAGTTAATCTGTATCTTGCCTAAGGGCCATTTTTTCCTTGTTTTGATGGTTTTAATGAATGCTTTCCATCCGTGTAACAAATCATCCCCGTAGAAAATGTTTCCTCCAGAATTTGTGTCCACTGGCAAGTGGCCATTTTCAATTTTATAACTCACTTTCAATATGTTTTTCATATTAAAAACCACTCTAGGGCCAGTGGCACAGTGCCTGCCCAGCGAGCGGGAGGTTGTGAGTTCGATTCCCAGTACCAAAAAAAAAAAAAACAAAAAAAAAAACCACTCTATTTCGCCAAGCATGGTAGCACACACCTGTAATCCCAGCATTTGGGAGGCTGAGGCAGGAGGATCACTGTGAGTTCGAGGCCAGCCTGGGTTATATAGGCAAATTCAAGGCCAGCCTGCACTACATAGTGAAACCGTATGGCAAAAAACAAAGACAGGGAGGCAGGAGGATCATTGCGAGTTCAAGACCAGCCTGGGCTACAAAGTGAGTTCAAGGCCAGCCTGAACTGCATAGAATTTTGTCAAAAAGATAAAAAAAAACAAAACAAAACAAAAAAAAACATTCTTTCAGTTTTAGTTTACTTTTACTGAGAAGAGTGCACAGTAAGAACAGGAAAAAATAGGAGAAATTTGGTAAGTCACAATCTTTAGATTATCTTGGCCTACTTAAAAAATTTAATCTTATTTTATGAGTTTCATTTTATTTGTACATTTGAGTTAAAAGTATCTTGACATCAATGTTATATCCATATATTTCTTTTTTTTTTTAGCTTGGTAACATTAACATAATATATGAATACCTGAATATTAAAAATATTTCAGCCTTTAAAATTCTCCCACATGATTTTGACCACCTCATCTCATAAAAGAAACATCTGTGTTCATTTTATTTTCACTAATGATGACATAAATCAGAAGAAAGCCAATTACAAGCAATTGAGAAAACAAAGATGCACTCATCTTTGGCCAGAAGGTTGGAGAATTACCAGGTCAGGCTTAGTTTATGTTGTCCAAAACTACCTTGATGAGCAATACAAAAGGAGTCACAGAAGACACTCTAGCTCTGTGATCCATGAATAAATAGTAGAAAAACACTGCCTCTGTAAAGTTCTAGTCCAGGGGAAAAAAGTGTTTCCTGTCAGTTTGAAATCGCTACATGCCCATGACTTGGCCCAGCGGCTCACACTCATGAGCCCATGAAAGACGCTCAGCAGTTTGTAAGGAAAGCTGTTTACTTGGTTTATCCCAGTCTCAGCACCCGGGGGAGCACTGTTCTTGAGCAAAGTATGATTAGGCGGGGTCCTATAAAGGTCAAAAGTGCCAGGCTCTTGTTCTACCTGGAGTATTTCTTTCAGAGGTTCTACTTCCTAGGAAATGGCCTCTTTTCCCAGGTCTGAATCACACCAGCCACGTTACCCTCGTTACAGGCCTGTCAAAACCACACAAAAGTTCTCGATATTTATAGTTTATAGTTTAAACGCCAAACTGAAGTCTTCCTTGGAGGGCTGGGAGCGAGGGAAAACTTCACTTAAACTCCTGACCTTCTTCCGGAAGAGAGGGCCCCAGTTCCCTGGGATGAAATGGAACCCCCAGGCGTGGAGGGGCTGCGGGTTTGCTTCACCGTCACCCGCGTCTTGCCCTGTGCCACTCCCCGGTGCCTGACTGAAGCAGAAACCATCATCTCAGAGGCCTTGTAGCGGGGAGCTCCCGCTTCTCAGCCTTGCACTGGCACCAGAATCCACAACTGTGTCTGGAAGCCAAGGCGTCTTGGCCAGAGTCAGCGGTTCCGCTGATGATCTAGGTCACTGCAGTGACAGCAGCTACAGGCGTCCCTCGGCCGGGTCACTCACAAAGCTGGGCAGATGCACCGTTCTGTAAGTTCTGGGGCTGCTGAAGTCGGAAACCTCCAGGGACTCCTCTACTCTGCATTCTCTTCCTCCCCTCACCGAGCCAGCTGCTTCCTCTCAGCCCGCAGAACCTGGAGGGCACGGAGGAGCAGCCTGACCCGGCAGCCATAGAGCCCGGCACCAGGGAAGCGGCTTTAACAAGTGGCCACTAGAGAGGCTCTGGGCCCCCTGTGTTCAGGTTACAACAGGTTAGCGATCTTTTCTTTGCTCATTTATGTCAAATGAATCTTCAGGAGGCATTTCAGTATGCTAA